TACAATTAATTAATACTATTGTTATAGAAATTGTTTTACGAAGTTTTAAAAGGTCTGTTGTGTCACTAAAACTAATTAGATTGCTTAATGAGATATATATATATATATATATATAATATATATATATATATATATATTTTGGTACAAACATATATTTTATTTTAAGTTAATATTGATGGCAATTATTATATATAATGTTTGCTGAATGCTGTAAGCATAAATGATCACATAGTTGATGTAAACTTATCACAGTATCTCTTGGAAACAAGCGCCTACCCTAGAGAGCATCAACAACTCAAGGAATTAAGGGAGGCCAGTGTTGAAAAGTACCAGCACCGGTATGTATAAAAGAAAGAGAGATTCTACTAACCGTATCATTCCGTTGGGGTTTGTAGTCATTAGATCAACTATTCACGACGATTACATGATGATCTAACAGTTACAAATTCCGATAGAATGGTTCGTAACAGGACTACAACATTTTCCTAAAATAATATATTAATTCCTGAATATTTATTTTTTCCTTGAATATTTTGTATGCAAAATATATATATAGTGAAACTAAAGAGAAATAAAATTTTGTAACATAAAAAATAAAGGTTTAATAACATTCGTTGTTAGGCTGGTTCATATAAGAATTTGTAAAAAATGTGTTTTGATAGATATCACCACTAGAAAGAGTTTTATGTTCTTTCGAAGTATATTTATGATATTGTTGTCCATTTAAATGAAATTAATGGCTATTTAACATATACGAGTTTTGCAGGAGTGTTATGAATGTGCCTGCGGACGAAGCTCAGTTTCTGTCGATGATTTTGAAAATGATGAATGCGAAGAAAACCATAGAAGTCGGAGTTTTTACCGGCTACTCACTTTTGGCTACGGCTCTTGCTCTCCCTATCGATGCCAAAGTAAGCTTTTTTTTACATATTTTTGACCCAAAAATAGTAGGTAAAAAAAAGGCAAAATTGCCCTTAATTTTACTTTTTTCGGAATTACAATTTAATCACGACCATTTGACTTTCGCAAATTATATCAGAATCTTCAGTTTGTTGCAAATTGATGAACCGATATGCATATCTCGTGCAAACTATATCACGATCTTCAGTTTGCTGTTCGATCACATTAGCTTTTATATGATTTTTCAGAATCTCTGTGCACCAATTTACAACAAGCTAACGATTGTTATATAATTTGTGAAAGCGAAGAAGGTCATGATTAAATTGCAATTTCGATAAAGTTCGTGATATTATAAGCAAATTTCAAAGAAAAAAAATGAACCTCTATACCATTTTATCAATTTTGTGCGTGTGTGTGTGTGTGTTTTTTTTTTTCAGTGTGCAAATTGTCATCATAGTTTTAATAAAAGACCACTTGTTTAGAAAAGCTTTCTAAGTACAATGATCACTAGCAATCATTAAAAAGAATAATTATT